TCCGTTCGGGGAGATCGGAACAAGCAGGCCGGGACTGTTGGAGCTCATCCATATTGAGTTGCTGTCTATCGCGCAAGTGATCGCCAACGAAGAGGAAGATCTCCAACTTCGATTGCGAACAGCATCGGCTCCGCGGCGACCATAGCACGCAGTAGTTATACCGGACTATATCGTGCGAGAGGGAGAAAAGGTGGTTAGCATCGTTGACAGGAAGCCGCTGCGGCCTCCCTCATCCTATCCCAAGCCAGCAGCCCCGAAGACTCTCAGGAAGACGTCCAAGAAGAGACATCGCCAGCCATCGTCGGAGGCACAAGGAAGCCGAGTGGGACCCGGAGAAGAGGTGGTCCAGCCCGTGCGGGTGAGGAAGCCAGATCCCGTTCCTGAGAGCAAGGCGACACCGATCGAGGGACCTCCGCCGGGAGAAGGAGCAGGGACAAGCAGATTTCGGATATGTCGGAGCCCTTCGGAGCCGACACCACCACTGCCGCTCCTTCTCGATCTCAATCTTAATGGAGTCGGACCGTCAACACCAGCAAGAGGAGGAGGAGTGGGAGGAGCACCATATCCCGCACATAGACCCCCCATCCTCGCAGGACCTTTCCGCTTGCGCCATCCACCCCGACATGCCCCGGTAATTAACCTTAGTAGTTCCTCTAAGTCGGACGGTCCACCCGACAAATGTCGAGTTCATGGTGGAGCCTGCAATAATAAGGCTCGAAGCGATCAAGCGGGCTCCGCGTCTTGATCCTGCATGGGAGCCATATCTGAAGCCCCCCTTTGAAGGATGTGTAGCGGTATCGACCGGTAGAAGATGTTTGTCGGCACACCAACCGAACCCTGTGTGTCGCCCCGCATCTGTCACCCGCAGGGGGGATCGATCGGGGCTCCTGTAACCTGCTAGAAAAAGGTTAGCCTAAAATCACACAATAGGGACTGACAAAGACTGAGAGACCAACAACACGGTGCTCAAAGATCACTGTTTGGAAGGAACAAAAAGTGTATTTTCATTTAGTCCAGAATGATGGGTTCCGCTGCACTATTCCCAAGCCCAGAGATAAGTCTCGCGTCCAGGTCGGAGAAATAGGTCTTAGTCCCGACCAACCTCACAGACAATTTAGGGCGAATCCTCAGCCCGATGGGATGTCGTCGATAACGAGCACGTTGGTCCTATGGAACAGTACTGAAACTCTTTGTGTCTGAGGCAGATTCGAGGGTCTACAGTGGCCACTGCTCACATTTTATTTTCACCATGAACATGTTATTCGTTAAAACGATACATTATTGAGTGTCTTATTTTGAAACAAATTTATCAGACATGTTTGCGAATTGCTAGTACACACTGTTGTAACACCATTTATGCATATAGCGAGGACACGGTTTACATTTTTTGAACGGATGTATTCGAGTTTGATGGACACATAGGAATCACAGGAGCAGGAAAACATCCTCTTGAAGTGGTGCATAGAGGAAGGACACCACGTGGAGTTTATGAACGGACACATCCGAGGTTAAGGAATTATTCTGATGCATAAGGTGTATGACCAAAAGTCAGCTCTTGTTTATGACATCCCCAATCTACTACGTTTAAAGAGGGGCTCGACGGGAGGCTGTAAAATGTCGAGGATATTTCCAACATTTTCTTTGACTGTAGGAGATCGAACAGCGTGTTTGCGTATGCCCGGAAAGCAGTGTTGTCCTTGTGCAGTCGATTCACCTCAACCAATTTCTCCAACACCGCCTCGTAAGCTTGAACCTTGAAAGTATCAAGGTCCGAACGATTGTCGTAATCCCACCCGCCTTTAGTGTTCGTCATCGCCACTGCTCAGGTCACCATCAAGAAGGAGTGGCTGGAAATGATCAGGGCGCCACACGATATCATGAACCCATTTTTTTGTTAGGGAAAAGGTATGTTTGTCGTCCATGTGGAACGGCCTCGAAGGGTTCGACAAATGCGGATGGTTGGCAGGTATTACTTGCCCGGGTGTAAGACGTTCGGGGTGCGGTGTGAGACGTAGTGACTCCCTTGACGAACTCTTTAGACGGTTCAACCCACCCCTCCTGACTGGTGTCGAGGCGGATAAGGGAGTCGGACCACCTAAGGTGGGTGTGGCGACCGGTATCCCAATCTGCGGTTTGCATACTGAGGGCGAGTCGGAAATGACTTGGGCGGCGAAGATGACTAAGTGCCCATCGAAATCGAAGACATCGTTGTCGACGCTCTCTTCTTGTTCTGTGTCGATATTGAAGTTATCGTCCTCCCCAAACGCCAGCTTGTACTTGTCTATAATGAACTCGGCAGTATCGTGCACATGTTCAAAGAAGAAGACGTATTCCAACCTCCTCATGAAATCCGCTGCATTGTCCCGACTCGCCTCGTGGTAGCCTTGGAGGATAGTAATGACAACTTCCTTTCGCATCAAGTAATCCTCATCCACTCTCCACCGGGGTAGTTTGCCAAAAAGAAATTAGTACACTTGGCATCTTTTTTCCGGAGACAATTTGAAGAACATGTCCTTATTCGGGTCGTATTCGGTCTTGGTCGTGACAGTGTGGAACTCGCATTCGTAAGCCCCGGACTTGACCTCGTGAGCGACGTATTACAAGGTGAATTCAAGGTGTGCTGAGTCTTCCTCTACAGCGAAGACGTGCCTTCTGGTTTGAAGCAGATTCCACACGACTTGCGCATGCGGCTTGCCTAGGAACAACATGACATCTGCGACAACACAGAAGAAATGCAGCCGACTCCACAACTAATTAGGGTTCTGCTCGTCGTCCTTATACACTCCCCCCCTCTGGTTGAGAATGCCAATGTCCACGAAATTCGAAGGCTTAAACTGCACCTCCACAACATCCAAGGGTGTCACTTTCTGCCTCCTTCGCAGAGCAGAGGCATCGTCTTCGGCAACAGGTCCTTCATAGACAGGGTGAGTTATTTGTCGTGGATCCTTGCTTTTAAAGAGGATGTGCATGACATCTGGCTCCTCCCACAAGTTGTTACCCAACTGATGGGTCTTCTTCAATTGCGCTTTTCGCACCCACTTCCCCGTGTAGCTGCGGGTGGGCCCAAGCGCAGACAAAAAAGTCATGAAGGAAAGGTTCACAGGCACGGGACGAAAACCAGTGTCCAGTAGCCCGGACACAAGAGGGTCAGGAATTCCCTTAGAGATGCGAATGTTGCCACATCCCATCGCGCCCGATCCACAGGGCCGCACAAGTCGAGGACGCAAGTGTGAGAGTGTAGTTGATGCGCCAGTTTCTTCATTTCGTCCTTACAGTCAAAGGCAGCTAACAGATCGAAGGCAAACGGGGCTAGCGACGTGACGACATTTGTCTTCCTCCACATAATATTCATGTAGTCACCAACGGCTTGAGGACCTTGTTTACTTCGCACGCGCTCTCCAGTGAGCACTGAAAGAACCACACGTTTCTACTCCACTGGGAACTGTTCGTGGTTTACGAGCTCCAGGGTCTTTTTCAAGCCGCTGTCATGGGGGCACCCAAGATACTGAGGACACTTGTTGACGTAGGAGCTATCAGTGAAATATTTCCTGCTCTCATTCCAAAGTTTTTCGTCAAGTCCTTTGTCTACGTACTCTTTTAGCAGTCTCCGCTTCGTCCTTACGAACGAAGATTTGACATTTCACTCCTTGCTCATTCCCTTGTATTCGATTTCCACGTAGTGACACATCTTGAGCATAATCCTGTCGATCTTTATTATGTGGACCATAAAGTCGTGCTCTCCCTCAACTAACAGAAATTCATAAAATAACACATGACAAAAATAAATTAGTTACTCGACGTCGATGGTTGCGCATGGAAAAGCACTTGGTCAAACTGAGCAACAGGAGGCTCGCACCTCCGAGGCCGGCTCATCAATTTTGGAGTAGAAAATGTACAAGTGTTTGGTGAACCAAAAATGATTTTGCCTAAACAAATAAAAAGGATATGCAAAAATAAACTAGTTTGGACTAAATTAACACAAATAAGTTCTTACAGGTGACTGTAGTGAATATGGTGAAGGCATAGTCTTACCCCATCAGTAATGGTGAAAGGTCGTGTTTGAATCCCACGAAGGCGCGAAAGCGAGTAAGAATTTGACTGTCTTTGCGGGTACCGCTAAATACATCAAAAGACGCTATCAGTGAAATATTTTCTGCTCTCATTCCAAAGTTTTTCGTCAAGTCCTTTGTCCACGTACTCTTTTAGCAGTCTCCGCTTCGTCCTGGCGAACGAAGATTTGACATTTCACTCCTTCTTGCTCATTCCCTTGTATTCGATATCCACGTAGTGACACATCTTGAGCATAATCCTGTCTATCTTTATTATGTCGACCATCTCCTTCACACTGAATTTTCCCTGCTCGGTCAACTCTTTGTTACTCCCTTAAACCCACGCGACATTAAGGTTCAAGACGCCGTTAACACCCTTTTCTTCTCGTGGTCCGTCAAGTTTGCCATTTCCTTTCAGCAGTGAACATCGCGCTTGGGAACTTGGACATTATAAATTTTCTCCTCCACGCCTTTCTTCGGCTTGCTTTTGCCCCTTCTCAGCAACAGGTCCTTCACCTTCACGAAGAAGACGTTCTTTGTTACCCCGTCGCTTTCCTCCACAACCGTCAGCCCCTCCCCGACCACCTCGAGATTGGTGGGTGGCTTTTCACTCCAGCGCCGGCCGTCGGACGCATCGTCCTTTGGACCATTCCTGGTAGAACTTCCCCCCCAATTCGAAGACCTACTCGTCAGCCATGACAAGTGGGAGGTAGTACCGAAGTTTCTCGGCCCACTCCTTTTTCTCCTTGTCATCCGTTGAGAGGCCCCACAAGTTGACGTAAGGTGTCTTATTCAAAGCCAAGCACATGAACTTAGTCCAACGATCCACCTCCTTCGCTTTGTTCATTACATTTCAAATGACGGCACACGATTTTCCCCGGTTTTTCCAGATATTGCGAATGTCCCTCATGCACAAAATCTGTAACCTGGGTGGATTTTTCTTGTCTTTCATATTGTCGTCGACATTGATTTGGGAGTACCCGCCAAACTCGTCGTCAGGAAGTAAACCGGTCTGAATGGTCATTCCCCAAAGGAATAGTGTTTGAACATGGGATAGTCCTTCACGTTCATCGCCGCCGCCGCGTTATGCTGACCACTGACAGGGTAATACCAGTATCGCTCGGGCGTCGTCACATCGAAGTCGTCAGGCAGTACACACTCAGCATGTGTGTTCTTCTCCGGAGGTGCGACGATCGGAGCAAGAACGAAAATCAGCTTTGTATATTTTTTATCTTTAACGTTGTACGCCTCGACCATTGCTTGCACGATGCCATCCATGAGGAAATCATCCAAGGAGTGGTGGTTGTACGCGTCTTCCCAGTCTGGAATAGGCAGGATTCTTTCGGGATGGATGTACAAAACAACGTCCTTCTGCACCCCCGTTTTCATCTCCAGGAAGAACGCTTTGTCGAGGTCAAAATTCTTCTTGTTCACTTCCACATCGGAGTCCCCTCCCCCACTTGGGCCCTCATCTGTTATTCTTCCCTTGGCGGGTTGTCTTCCCTTCCCTGATGACTCACCGGTCTTTCGCCGTCTGGAGGGCTCCTTCGGCGTTTCTTCACCCCCTCCTCCCCTTTTCCTCTTCTGGACCGAACCCCGCTCTTGTGTCTTTGGCGTTTGACCAATGCCTTTCCCTTCGCCTGTCTTCGAATGGAGCCAACTCCCCCTTCCATTCTTTGTTTTTTTTGTCGTATGACTCCCTCCCCCGCCTCAACGACCGGAAACTGTTGTTTACCTCCCGACAAAGGCGTCCCAGATGGACTCTGATGCATTGTTTCGAAGTCGACCATCTCCTCCTCTTCAAGGGCAACGTTCCCACTGGCGTCCCGCCGAGGGCTCGCCTTCGTGTCGACCAGGAGTGGAGTATGGTGGACTGACAGAGTCGTCTCGCCAGTCCCACACGCCTCGCGGACCACAGAGCCACCGACATGAGAATCGGACAACGACGCGACCATCTGTTTCCCTTTCTCCACCTGCTTTTCCGAATGATGACGTCCACCCGTCAAGCTACGGACCAAGTCAATGACCGTTTTAGACACGCAATGGGGAGACGTATCTCGCGGGGCCTTTTCTAAGCTTTGGCGGACGCGTCGTCCAGGCGACTGCTCCCCCAAACCTCGACGGCAAGGTTCCTGCACAACGACTTTTAGAGGCGCTCGTGTACACTCCTCCTCCGAGTCGTCTGACATTCCCACGACGGGGTTAAGAGGCGTACTAGGTTGACCCTCGCCTCTCGCACCTTCTCGAGGACGGTCTCCTCCTGCGGCCGCAATCGGATTACTTATTGAGGTCTGAGGGGGCAGGTCCATGTCGTGGTTAGGATGGATTTTAGCCACCCAAACCTCGAGGAAGTCTTTCAAGTGGACCACGACGTCTTCACCGGGCATCATCGGAACGAAGAATTGCAAAGTCGCCGCTCTTCCACCGTACCCCCCGAGCCTCTTCCAAGAAACCATGCAACCTTTTGCGTGTTCGTCGACCGATCCATCTCTTCGGTACAACTTACGCAAGTAGAACTTGATAATGTCATCGTCCTCGTAAGCCCAAGCGGTGATGGATCCAACGAGATGTATCTTCTGGTCTCGCCCATGAATGAACAACACGGCCCCGCACCGAGGTTTAAGCGGGTTGGAGGCGTGCTCGCAGGCCCAGTCCATATACCAGACCCACTTGTTGTAGTTGCACCACATCGTCAAAGCCCGTTTCGGTTCCTGCCCACTACGACCGACCCTACTCGGAGCGGTGACCGATGTCGACATCGTCCTTTGAGTTTCTTCCACCAGCGGATAGGAACCACCCGCAAAATGGGCTTCTCCCTGAGTAGCCATTTCCCTGAAACACGCGTGAAGCGAACAAACACACGACTACTCAGCATACACAGCATGACTTGGATCAGCAACAAGCAAGTCATGACAACATTCCCAACTGGCAGCACCCGCGGCGACCACCATCCACCGGGAGGCGCCGCAACGTGAAGTTCATGTGTGATTCAGATGCATTCGAACTCGGGGGTGTAGTTGGCGTACGGTCACAGGCGCAATGCGATGGTCCACTACTTTGAGCCTCAGATGCATCTGAACTACAGCGCAGGCAAGACGCTTTATCAAAAGCTCGTAAGGCAGTTTTGCAACAGATTATTATACTTTCTGCAAGAAATTGAATGGCCCGATAGACAGACAATGTGCAGGAGGTGCTTTTTGTCAGAAATTCCAAGGTGCGAAGGTCGGTTGAATCCTAATGGAAACAGGCGACGCACAGAGAAGTTCATGTGTGATTCGGATGCATCCGAATACGGGAAACCAGTTAGTGAGTGTTCACGGGCGCACTGCGACGATCGACAACTGCGAGCCTCGGATGCATCCGATGTACGGCGAGGCAACACCTATGGAGTGTCGCGACATATTATTATACGTTGAACACTCCCCCGACAGCATTATCCGATGGCCAGACATTGTATATGACCAACGTTTTGTCAGGAATTTCAGGGTGCGAAGTTCGGATGCATCCTTCTGGGAATGCCTAAATGTTCACGGGCGCACTGCGACGGTCGACATCTGGGTGTCGGGGCAGTCTACTCTACTCTACGCCCCACCCACCCACCCAC